GATCTTTATGGGTAACTCGAGTCTGAATCCTCTAGACATTTCATATATGTGTGTGTAACTCTAGAACCTTCGATCCTCTAAACACCTGATCTCAATGTGTCACTCTGGATTCTGATTTCTCTAATTTTGTTTTTGAAACACACGTCTATGAAAGAAAAACTGTTTTATTCCACAACGACATTTTGAGGTACTGCATCATTATTCTTGACATGAGAATGAATGGAAGATGTATCTTTCGAAAGGAATGTATTTTTGTATAAACGCACGATCCCTGACCAACAAAATATATTTAACGAAGAGAAAAATGTTAGAGCAAAACAGTGTTATAAAATAATTTCGTTTGAATTTACTTACTGGTGATAAGTAGTTTTATAAGTTACAGCTCTTACAGTACACTTTTGAGAAACTGTTTAAATATACATTCTTCCTCAAAACTTACTGTAAGGGCCGTAACTTAGAAGGATAATGTGATAGAAGTTAAACAATATGTTAAGAAACTGTTTTTCTATAATCAAATATTACCAAGTAGTGAGACACGCCATTTGAAGCGACAAAAATTAAACGTACATATACAACTGCTGTGAATTAAAGTATGCTAAAGTAATCAATCATTTTAAAGTGTTTTTTTTCATTTAGACCGTAAAGAAATTTAGTATTTAAATTGTGTGAGTTAAAACTAACACCGTCATGTTTCCAGTATCGTAGTGGGTAAGAGAGTTAAAGTGTTTTGGGACAGAGTGGTTTTTCTTACCGCAACGAACGTGACGCAGGTGTTCGCGAAATATATCCTTTTGTCGTCTTGATGTCTCTCTAAGTACAAAAAAAAAGATAACTAGTGCATTGAATACAATAGGTAATGCAATGCGAACAAATGAAGCAACCCTTACCATGGTAAGTGTAATTCTGTGTGGATAATGTTGTAGTGTCATAAATATGCTTACACGTGAGACATATGCAACATTGTTATGTTTTTTTACCATATAAATTTCTATCACATTTAAAATATATAAAAAGGTTAGTAAAAATGTTGGGAGAAGATAAGTCATTCATTAGAAGGATGAAGTTATTCTATATAATTATAGCAACATGTCTGTTGAAGGATTGTGTTTGTAGTTAAGCACAAAGCTGCACAAGGGGCTATCTGTGCTCTTCCCACCACGGGTATCGAATCCCGGTTTCTAGCAATGTAATTCCGCAGACATACCGCCTTGTCACTGGGTGGGAGGGGGGGTATTGAAGGAATGGTAAGGCTTGTTTTACTCTTAAAGGAATATTTCAGAATCTGTATGTGAAATCTAAGATGTTACTTCTGGTATTTTCAATTACATTACCAGCTTAATTTCGTTTTTGAAGAAGCGTGTCTTTTCGTTATTCTTCGGTTTAAAGTAATAGTCAATAAATTACAAATGTTTAAACCTTAAGAAACGTTCCTCGGAGATGACACTTTGAAGTTTCTATTGAATAGAAGGATTTGTAACTGATTATCAATAGGTCTGTAGTGTACAGTGGTTTCTAGTGTTTTGCCAGAAATGTTTATGTTGATGTCCATAATTGATGCGATAGGTATATTGAAGGCTGCATAAAAAGACTAGACATAAAAATTGTATTGTTCAACCGTTTCTTTGTTTCCAGTTACTAAACCTGTAATTTCATTAACATATCTAACATGAAAGTCAGGTAAAACCACAAAACGTGTTGTAGATTTGTTCTTCGATTATGACGGATTTATTACTATATATT